GAACATTTTCTGTAGTGGGGTGCTGAATACCATTGAACAAAATCGAAATCCCTGTATATGAATGAAACCATATGTCAGGCTAGGAGGTGCTACCGCACTCTCAGCACCCCTATTTCCCGTGCCCTTGAATGACAAATGGAAGGCATATCTACCACCAATGTTATCTTAAATAAGGAGTTTCAAGTTTTTCTTATCCACGAAATCAACACTGTAATTCTTAATTTTTTTATGCCAGATGATGACAGAGAAAACACCTCAGGAAAAAGATAGATGTGGTGAAAATTGGCCCTTATATCGAATTTACAAGTACGTAGAGCAACTAGAGACACCTAGAAGTGATACAACTGAGTAGCAATGGAAGTTGAGTCCAGAATGTGGAAGAGAGGCAAGCATAGAAGTACGTGAAATGACCTAAAACTAAACATTGGTTTTTACATAGCAAATACACAACTAGACCTACTCAGGACAACATAGACAGGACAAGTGTACTTCACCATTATTCATTATTCCAGAACGTTGCAAGGTATATAAAGCCCATTCAGATTATAATAAAAAATAAAACACATAGAAACGAAAAAAGCCTACATAGTGCCAGCGAGGAAACCTTATATGTGACGTGGGCTTATACACTGCTGCTAAAAATCTGGAAAACATGCTAGAAATCAGCTGTAGAATCTAGTGATATAACAAATGTACCATCTAAGTTACTCAGATGGTAAAAGTAAGTTACTAGTTTCCTTTCAATAACCTGGATTATCCAACATTTATCTGGCTTACTCACCCATTACTTATAGACTACGCTGGCACCTACTTTAATATCACCCCATACTGACCTTGGCATATTAAGCTACAGCAAACATGGGCAAGGCACTCATCCTGCATTTAAACTCTAGACTTTCTCAAGGTTTTCCTGGATTACCCACATTTATCAGAAACTGCGAATCAAAGGCATTATTTAGAAGCAGGAATGGTCCAAAGAATGCAAACATTGCACAACAATATTATTAGAATATTATAAAATCTTAAAAAATATTTGGCCTACACAGTTTCATCTTACGCTGCGGTCAAAAATACTTATATCACCACATTTTAAAGTATGGATGACATACCTGAGTTTATCATGAACTACAGACGTAGAATGTCCACCTTGTTTAATTGCATTATAAACATCCATAATGAGATCACTCTATTTAAAATAACAAATATTATGAACCAATTATTATATTTTACACCATTATTCTAACAAAAAACTGCTAACCAATATTCCATCAAGTCTTTCAGAATCTGCCGGTTATTCCGAAATCAATCACAAAACGTAAAATAAGGGTACCACCTTAGGTTCAACCAAACAAACGCAAAAATAAGTCTTTCATGACCTGCTTAAAAATGTGAATTTGATACACATTCTGTGACCATTCAGTGAACAGTCATGATGTATTGAGGTATATCATAGTTTGTTAATTAGGACGGTTCTATATGGTGTCTTCTATTGAGAAATGGTCTATACTGGACTTTTGATGATAACAGACATGGGATTTAGTCTTGAAAACGTACTATTAAATCCACAAAAGAGTCAGTAGCATCACTAGACAACCTGTACTGTAGCCTTATACCGTGTCCTGAGTGATCATGACCAGAAGGTGGTTGTAACGTCTTATATCTCACTTAATCACTGGTCTGTCACTTCATAAATGATCATGTATTGCCTATCTTTGTGCAAATGAACCCCTAATTTCGTATTCAAAGATAGAATCGCCTTTCCATAAGCAATAGAGAGGCATCCACTAGTCCTTGTCAGATCCAAGGCTTAGTGAGGAAACTGTCTCTCAAGAAATTTAGAATACTAACTTCAGATAGTATATATATCACTTTTATGAAGATAGAAGCAGTCCAATTAAAAACAGCGGCAAACGTATTACTCTGCCTACCCAAAGAGGATCTGAACGTTTTTATAAGGCATTTCAGATAAACTTATGCATTCTCATAGTTAAGGTGGCTGGCCAGCATTCAGTAAATTACTTATTTAAATCAAAACCAAAACAAAATGATTAGACCCTGGAGGTTGAAGAGATAAAGATACTGTTAACACCAACTCAAATTCAAGGACCAAAACCATATAAAGAACCAAACAAGTATCCAGTAAATATTTTAAAACCACAAAAATCTCTGTGTCCAGTATGAAGAAAAATAAGAATCAGAACAAATCGAGCTACATTTACTAATGTCATTCCGGATGTGGGGAAAAGCATCAGTACTTGCGTATTTCTTGTACCATGAAAGGGTTTTACATTAAGAGTTATAAAATTTTCGTACAAAGCTACAATTAGTCATCCCTAATTTTAAACTGTAAACTAGAGGGAAAAAGAGATTAACATCTGCTACCAAATATTTGGTTATTCTTAATCTTATAGCACGCCCATGGCTTCAAAACGATGAGCAGAGTCTGGCTCATGATCACTAGGCCGCGTATAGTCCGACTTAGAAGACATTAAATACAGATCAATACATTTGGTTAACAAGATTGCAATTGCAAATAATTAAACACGAACGTTAAAACCATGTTAGGCTTAGGAGTTGGGTCTCAGGAATTTTTATGTTATCAATGGAAAGAAACGCAAGAAAATAGTCAATATTATTGATGACTTTTGAGAGACAGAAAGTGGTCATGCTCATAATAGGAAAACTGAACCGAGAATAAGATACCTGCAATTTTTGGTTAACCTTTCAAGTTATTTGACACTTCTGCCTTTAGTGCAGCAAACATTACAATATGTAATTTATATATGTCTTTACTTTCCAATTGGAAGAAATTGACAATAATGACAACTGAGATCTATGGTAATTACTAACCATGCAAATCATGTGACAAGAAAAACCCATCAAACTTACAACAGTACTGAGAACAATAATGATTATGAATAATAATATTTATATCTTTCATTGTACATATAATACGACTTTTACAGTTAAAACCACCACAACTTCGTTTGAATAATAGAAACTAAGATATAAACTAACCTATTTGATGGTAAGCTAACCAACTCTAGTGAAATCTGTACTACCTTAGGATGTAAAAGTTACCAAGCCCTGTCTATATTGGTCTACATACTGTACTTTTCTAATTGAGGCTAAGAAGTTTGGAAATCTAAAAATCTCAAATAAACTCTGTAAGAGTCTTGTACAGTGACAATGAATTACTTAAGAAATTACCAGAAAGTTGGCTGAGAATAGGAAAAAAAAAGTCGATAGAACAAGTACGGAATCTGATGATTATGTTCTCGGGGAAAGAGAGGAGTCTTTTATTTAGGGCTGTAATACATAACAGGAAGAAGATTGTTATATGATGTAGAAAGATGACAAGAAATACATCTTCAGAAGTAAACGAATGAAAAAAAATTAAAAAGGTAACAAACCTAGTCCAATCGATGAATGTAGCTAAGATAACCTCTCACGGGAATAAGTTTGAAAGCGATTTGATGTCCTTGCTTCCAAAGGAAGGAATAGGTATTTTTAAGAAATAATTCGCTATAAAAACACTAGAATGTGCTGATTAAAATGTGTTACTTTTTATTGTATTCAGAGCAATGCTAATCTTGAAAAGATATGTAAAAAAGACGTATTGCAGCTACAAGAACACAAGGGTTAAGGACTAACAGAGAAATTGTGTTTTCTTGTCTCTGAAATGATAATGAAAAACTAAATTTAAGAAATCACTGTGAATGATTAGAAACGTTAAGTTAAAAACATGCAACGAATTTAAGCATATGATACTGACAAATAGCTTACTATAATCAATCACTGTTATCCTGATCTACCTAAATGGATTACCATCTGTAGCTACCAATAACTTAAGACCAGACTACAATTTGAGAAGACCACAATCATCCATGGCCATTACAGTAAAATATTCTACTATTTAAGAGTAAAAATAAAATATATGTTTAATACCAAAACATCATAGAAGGTCACATATCTCTCATAAACATTGCAATACTAGTATTTGTACCCAAGGGGACAACTTTTTACACTTTATCATCAAAAAATAGAAATCATCTGTTGCGAAATAATTTAAACATTGAACGTAAACCAAATGATAACATTCGTCACACATAATTACCATAAAACTGAACGCCACGTTTGTTTCATTTCCATTATTATTTAGATAACAGGGGTTGGATCAATAAAAAAGTTCTGGTACTGATTACTATCAGAGAAAATAAATAACCCCTAAGCCTATAATAGAAACAACAAGTTGGAATCATTTTTCGTATTTATTATCAAGACAGTAGACTAGCTTTCGACAAAATATTGTGATTTTCACACTAGACATAAATGCAGTACATAGAAGTAAACCACAAAAGATGTATGTCACCATATTGGTTGAAACGTTCTTGGCATCTACCATCATCAACACAGCAGACTTTACTGTCATCTACCCAGCGAAAAAATATTGAAATGCATCAGAACATGTATGTTCCAAAACACAATAAACAATAATATTAGTCGTTAGATGACAGCAAATAACAAATAATTGATAAGTAGGGACATGTAAAAATAAAACATTCACTATATATTATTTTCCTTAATAACATTATCTGGAAAGACAGTCTCAAGACAATGAAGACTATAAGTGAGACTGAAAAAGCTGTTGTTTCCCTTTTTTTGATACGTAATGATAAAAATACCCAGAGTACACATCACGGGTATCGAAACCAGATTTTTGGCGTTATAAGCCTTTTGACTTACAGCTGAGCTACTGGTTGGTCAAAAAAGAAAGGAAAAGTTGTTAGCAGAATCCGCGGGTACAAACGAACCAAATAAAGATAGGAGTTAGAAAATAAACTCTCGTGTTTGGAAATGTCACCTAGAAGACTTCCAGTGATGAATGGATCAGGTAGTAAAACTGTCAAAAACCTGTCAAGACAATTTAGGAAGAAGTGTGAGGTATACAGTGGATTTTACGACTGGTTTTTGGTTTTGCATTATAAAGAAAACACACTTCAGGTTGTGTACTTTTTAAATTCATTACTTTATTTTTGAAACCAATTCTATTTCAATAAAACTTGCATTTCTATTTTTTGGATGGACCCGAAGTATCGTTCTTACACTCAGGTTTCGAAGTCGGAGTGAAACAGCATTTTTTAGCACAGAGCTGCACAAGGAGCTATCTGCATTGTACCCATCACCTATTGATCCTCAAATTTCCATCAACCATCGAGAAGTGCAAAAGGAAGGGTGAATTTATGATAAATTGTTTCCCGTAGAGGTGTAAAAAACTAGTACAAATAAGTTAATAAGTCCTTTTGTTGTTGTTTTTTGCACAAAGCTTCACAACGAGCTATCTGCATTCTGTTCACCACGGGAAAACGAGCCTTGAATCCAATAAAAAAAACTTAGGTTTTGGAGCTTATTTATTTTATATATACTTATATATATATATATTAATTAATTATTGGAGTAAAGTAAACTTCATTTCTGCCTAATACGCATAGTTTGTTTGTTTTAGAACAAAACCACATTGGGCTATCTTTTGTGGCCACCACGAGGAATCTAACTCCAGATTTTAACGTTGTAAGTACGTAGTCTTACAGCTCTAACAGGGGACTAAACATAGTTTACATATTAATGTATAAACACTCTCTGTTCAGAAGGACTTAAACGTTTGTGTATACTGATAGGTCTATAATCAAAAGCTAAACAGCATCAACATAATTTTAGGGACATTATTTTAAGCAAAAACAAATAGTCAAATGCTGAGAGGATGAAATTTATTTATTCTATCATATATCCAAAATTGATAAATTTAGTGCTATCTTGAAATTTTTATGTAATTATTTATGTTCACTTGTGTCATCATAATCCATAAAGTGCACCAAAACTGTTCCATATTATTCAAAATATTTTGCTCAATACCATAAAAAATATAATTGTGAAAGAGGCATCATTAAAAACCTTGAATAATAAAAGTATACCTTCGCATTTTTATCACCCAGTAACGCCCTGCTGATAGTTAGCAAAAACGTTTCAGTTAACCAAACGTGAAAAATCACGAAACGTAATTATCAATTGAATGTATAAAGGATCGCAAATTGTTAAGTAATATAGTAATAATGAATGGTACTGTAATACGTAATGCAGCGATTCTAAGACATTGAGCTGTTTAACATAATATTTAAAAAATGTATTTGAACACATTTAGATAAACTTCAGATGGATTTAATAGTACTAGAAATTATTATTATTATATTTCCAAAGAATTAAAAATTTAATACTTGTGTATATTTCTTTAGTAGTGTAATAAAAGTACTTTGATATCATGAAATCTCAAAATTATTCCATTCTGCAAGAATATATTATATCCAATCCATTATATTTAGGTTAAATAATTTAAAAGTTTTGAGATTACAATAGAGTTAGGCACAGAAAAAGATATGTTTGATGTTGAATGGCATTTATTTATGTACATTCTACTTTGTTTTTTAATTTGCAAATTACTCAAATTTAGAGATCCAGCTTAAATTTATTGCAAAAATTAGAATTTTTGTGAGATTATTCTAGAAATCCACTTTAAGTTGCTGTTATTAAGAAATCCAGTGTTTCTGAAACAAAACTGAGAACAAAATGATGTTAGAAACGAATAGAATAATTGTTTTTATATAATGAATAATACTTTTTACCAAATCATTTATCGTTGTAAATAAATAAATATTAAGGTTTTCATTTTCAGTTCGTGAATCCTTTATTTATAAAATGCAGTTTTAAAATAATTTTTTAACATAACGAATGTGCTAGATATGTTTACCTGTGCATTCCACAAAAAATCTAATCTCGCTGTCCATTCTACATGGCGACCTTGTACCAGTACAGCAACCAAAAACTGACCAATGGCCACAATTCCGAATATATGAAATGGAACAACAGGTCTAAAAAAAAGAATATCTTTTATAATACATATAAAACCACGTTGGTTGGCATTTCAGAAACTCTTTTTATTTAATATAATACGTATTCTTGCAATATAAATAATTAAACATTTTATTGTATTACTCACTGTAATCTGAATACTTTGAGGAGCTTGGTATTTCTGATCAAATATTTCAGCTAATGTTTCAATACCTACTGAGTTAATACAAAATAACTAATACATGATTACAATGTAGTTTAAAGATGACGATGTACGCTGTTGGAGGCTAAAAACACATGATTCGTATAAACAGCAAATGTTCTTGTATCATCTGCGATTCAGAAACCAGGCTCTAACTAATGTTTCTTGAACGTCACTTTTAACAATATGTATACAAATATATGTCACTAAGGTTCTATTCTCGTTAAGCACAATAATAACACGGCATCTTGTAAAGATATATTTTAAAGAAAACACTCAGTTTATACAACGTTTAAAAGTACACAATATTTAAAGACAGTTGAAAGCACTAAGGTCTTACTAAAAACATCTACAAGTTTTCTTCTTTCTGATGATTGTGCACATGTGACCCACCGAAATATGTAGATGTCTTTAGTAAGACCTTAGTGCCTTCAACACTTTTTTAAAGTACCGTGCACTTTTAAACATTGTTTAAACTGAGTATTTTTTAATCCTGTCTCCATGTTTAGCGTCATTTACATTTTAACTGATTTTTAAGAACTTGATAGAATTATAAAGTCAACACAGATTACTGAATAAATTGAATAAACTTAAACGAAACGACTTATAATAATTTATTTTCAGTGTTTATGGCAGTCTCTAACCAGTCTAATATATCTGAAAAACGAAATATCATTCAGAATATACCCATAGTTTCATAGCCAATTAAATGGATTAGAATGTATTTTCTTAAACGTACTTTAAACTGTAATGTTTCATATACTTTAGTATCATTTTATTGCAAATACGTAACTAACTTACATACAAAAAGGAAAGAAAATTAGCAAGTAAGGGAGTTAACGATGTCAGCAGATCCTCGTAGTATAATCCAATGTGCTACTTTATTAAAATCATTAGAAGGTGTAGAGGTAATCCGAGATAATTTAAAATCATCAGCACTAAATCCGTGCGAAAGTGAAAAAAGAGTTAATTTGAGATAACGAAAAACGTACAAGTACTACATCCCTTCAGAAAGGAATGCAAGAAGTGTGAGATAACAAGAAAGTATAAAGGCAACATCTTTTATAAGGAGAAATAAGAGAAAAAACATGTCCTGGATACTAAATGATATAAAATATATCTATATATATTCTATATATGTATAGATTTTGTTTATATATATATTATTGAAACACCTACTGTATGAGAAACAATAAACGTAACGATCTCAAAAATATGTGTGTGTCTGGGCAAGGTTATTCAATGTTAACATGTGTTTCGTTAAAATATGTTTTGTGGAATTCGGCAATTATTTAAAAGAGATACTTACAAGATTCCTGCATAAAATTTAAATAATTATGCTCCAGTTTTAAAACATATTACTAGTGGTTGGGTACCACAATCTTTTGAAATGAAAACTAATAATTGTATAATGTGAACAATTCATCGTGATTATTAGATAGTTTTCCTATTATTATATAAATACTGAAGAGTTATATAAAAACAACTAGAAAATTAAAAACATGCAATACATTTAAAGAATGCAGTTCAAACCTTAAAGTAATTTAATTTATTATTTGGTACCAAGAGATTTGTGTACTCAAAAGTGGGTCGCTTCTCAAGAGGTTTGTTTTGTTTTGAATTTCGCGTAAAGCTACTCGAGGGATATCTGTGCTAATTGTCTTTAATGCAACAGTGATAGACTAGAGTGAAGTTAGCCAGTCAACCACCAACTCTTGTGCTAACTTTACCAACGAATAATGGGGTTGACCGTCATATTATAACGCCCCCACGGCTAACTGGCGAGCATGTACGGTGACGGGAATTGCCCAGATTGCGAATAAAGCGCCCTAACCACCAGGCCGTGGCTTCTCAAGAGACATTGAAATCATTTCGAAGGTCCAAATTTGTTAAATGCAAAGAACCCTGCGCTATAAATCTGAGCTCTGGACTACAGTGACATCGAAAGTTGGATATTTACATTAAACAATAACAATTCTTATATCCTTTAGGAAGATTTTTCAGATTTTCAAAGTTCAATCAGTCTAAACGGATCTGCTTCTCATTTGCAAAAAACAAAAATAACAATCTTTATCTTTCTTTTTCATAAAAAAAAGATGATGTCAAATAATATTCTCACCAACCTGACTCGTTCGTCGTAACAATCAAACAGTGGTGCGTGGGTGAATTCTGTAATTAGACAGTAGATTATTGTCATGGGTAAGAGCAGCGCTCCCTTGAGGAGAATGGATAGCTTAAGAAAGACAGCTATGGGAAGAAAAGCAAGGCAACAACTGATGACTATATAATGTGGTAGCGGACACGACCGATGGTCAGCATATAACGGAGCTTGTGTGATATTCGTCGTGGTTTTCACACAAATAGGTTCAGTGACGCACGAGAACTGAAAGAGATTTGAGTTTTCTATTTCTGTGAACTTTTCGAACATTACATGGTATTTAAGATAAATGATAATTTCTGCTGTAATACTGACTATATTCGATTAGGCGATAGTTTTGAAAATATACTAATGAATGAAGGTTAAACGTGTATACTAAACTTATTATATCACGTAAATTTCTTCATTTACAATAAAAAAAATTATACTTATAAAATATTATAAAAGAAAAAGCAACTTAATTTACAACCATTTTAAATTAACGTCTTTTAAATTAACGTCATCATCGTTTTGATGGCTGATAAAAACAGTAAAACAAATTTTAGCATCAACGATTCCGGTAAAACATTAACAACTTTAACGGATATGGATTCCATTTTGCGCATTCTTATGCCTTACAAATTAACTATTGTGCTGTTTTTAATCTTAACCTGAAGGGCATGTTACTCATTTGCTAAATTTTGCTTGCCTTAATACTTAATATAAACGGGAGTTTCAATCGTTGAAAGATGTAATTGCTCCTTTTCAAACATACACTATTGAATATTCTTCTTTTACGTTTTAGAATTAACTCTCAAATTTTTAAACTGTGGGAACTGCTAGAGTTGCTATATGTCATACACTAGCTAAGATTCATTAGCAGTTCGGGTTATATGACCTTTGTGAAAAATATTTTTCTCAAAAATTAGTTTATGAATTTGGATTAACATTTCTAGAAATATTTACTGCTAATTAATATTAACACTAACTGTCTAGATAGGTTCCAAAAGATTTTGGAAACATTATTCTTATCATCAGAGCAGTACATCTTTGTTAAAATATAACTTGGATTTTTTTGGCGAATATTCGTGATCTGTAACAAGTAATAAAGATAGTTTCCTTTGTTACTAAAGTATTTTAAGCTTTTTCTCAGAAATCTAAATTTATAAAGAAGATACTTTCAGTATTGCTTACCACGTTCGCTTGAGCAACTGCATATATAAAAATAACTGCAAATAGGGTGGCAGTTAGTCGAGTTAAGAAAGATTCTCTAACGTCCCATGCTATTACCTGTAAAAGTAATAACACACATTATTTATATTTCATTTTAATGCTAATATTAATATTCAAATTTACCAAAGCTACGTTGACTATAAAGTATTCTCAGCTATAAACAAAAAAATGTTTCAGAGTTCGTAAAAGTTATGAAATAATTTAAATTCATACATACGTGGGAAATAATACAATATATCTCAAAAACTCAACATCTCGTTATTGTAAAAATGTTTATCATTGAAATGAAAAAATAAATCGTTTGATACATATGTATTCGATAATAATAAAGAACTGAAATGGGAGCAAATGTAGAAAATTAAATGATTTCTGAAATCATCATAAAAATAAATAATTAAAGATAAAACTCATAAGTAATCTAAACTAATCAATATAATTAAATCTAAACGTGTTATATAATGGATTAGTATGAAAGTTTTATTAGTAGTTTTTAATTACCCTGTTACTAACTACTTTGATAAGATGAAACATTGTGCCAACAAGAAAGATGTTCACTGTAGTCAATAAAACAAAGTGAATAATTTGCATCAGCATAAAAATTACATGATATCAGAAAGTAGACTACTTTTGTAAATCTGTGACAGTCTATGTTATTTTTGTCTCATGATAACCCTTTTTATTCTGTATAGTTCAATATAAGTATAAGCTCAGAGTTTAGCAGTCTTTTGGAGCATCAATACGATATTTTTAAAACCTTTTTTTAAAGAGTTAATTACAGAAAACAACTATTCTGCATTACAAATCCTCTATTTGATGTTCACTGTCTACCAAAAAGTTTTATCAAACTTATAAAACAATGATGTTTGGCACTGAAAACTTTTAAATGAAAGATGTTAGATAAAGCACATAATCCTGAGCTAAATCTCTTGACCTGAAAAGAGGGATTACTCACTGCAATTCGAACAATAACAGAATTGAGATGGTGTTTTTTAGATGGTGTGCATTACTAATTACAATTTATACACTTAAAATTACGCCTAACAAAAAAGTACAATAGGTTCAATCCTAATTGAGATAATTAAAAATTCTGTTCAAACTTATTTCTAGTAAAATATAGTTTCATAATATATATATATTAAAGTAATCGTTTTCAATTATTTTTGTTTAAATAAAAGGCATTCTTTTATAATTTTCATATACAAAAGATAAATGATTATATGTACAGCTTATTTAAAGATAGTTACACCGATAATTCTTTCTTGGTTTTTAATACAAGTCAGATTCGCAATATTGATACCTAAGTACTTGACTTGTGATTGTGCTCATTAATTGCAAAACAAATATAACAACTCAAATAGGGTAGAATAAAACTAGAAGTGTTCCAGTTAAGTATAATACTGCACTATTACACTATGAAAGGTAAGATTGTATCTATTCTATTTGTCTTCTGTATGGAACAGTTTTATTAACAAAACATACATCGATTGCTTTCGACGTAATTATAATTCCCATAGTATAAATTTCTACAAAATAGCAAAGGTAAAGGTCAAAAATACTTGTCACGTAATGAACTACTCAGTCAATTAAAAATAAAACAAGAAACATGTATAACGAGAAGATTTCATTGCGCCTCACTAAATTATGTAATAATACAAACATTACCTTTGAAATAATCATGCACCTCACAGTTCACTAATTAGTTTATTTTTTGTATAAAATGCTTTCTTTCGTCGACTTAACTCTACATAAAAGTTCATTTTTGAGCCTAAGCCCTTCACTTAGGTAGACATGATTTGGTTGTGTAAATATCTAGAAAACATGCTTAAATAAAATATCTCTGCATGACGTCTAAAATATAAGTTCCTGTCTTCTATAATTATATTTACAGCTGACAATAAATAAATATAATACATAACATGAGGATAAACTTTACGGACAAAGTCCCCACTTCTGATCAAACTTGATATTAAGTCATTGTGGTAGAATTATCGAACAGCTCACCCATAAAAAAGGAAAACTTTAGACTGAAAGAGTTTTGGCATCCCAAAAGAACTCATGTAGGAACATATTTAATGTACTAATTGCATTACGTGAAACATGATGAAAATAAGTAAAATCAAACATTACCAAAAATAACTGATTATTTACTAATTTTAATGCAACGAAATATAATGACATAACATAGATCTCAATTAAACTAAAACCACGAATATTTCAAGGATGAGTAACATGTCATAATAGATTATAAATACTCAATATATTTCTGATATAGTGCTGCTTTATTTGAATGCTACTGTACTATACTGCGTTAATATCAATGAGATTCGATAGGTATTGCTAGTATAGAGTTACAAAGATGCCTGTTTCTGCTAATATATCGTGTACTTCATTCAGAATGTTTGAATTCTGAATTCAGCGTAATTTAAAACGAGTCAGAAAAGTTTCTATGTCAACTTAAAATATACTTACCCTTGCATTTGCAGCTAACCCTAAGCCCAGCAGCAATGTCATCCATGCAAAGGCAGATAAGAATAGTACAACCAGCATGACAGTTCTGGGAAAGAATCATAAAAACTTATTTTATGTAAGAGAAGTTCCCCGCTGGATCAGCGTTAAGTTTCCGAACTTACAACGCTCTAGTTCGGAGATCAATTTTTCGCGGTGGACAAAGCGGATATAGCTCATTGTGTAGCTTTGCACTAAAAATCCAACAACATGTAAGAGAAAAAGAAATCGGTGTTTTGAAAAATGCACTATAAACTTTTTTAGCTATGTCAACAACTTAAAATTCCGTGAATATCTAACCATGAAGAAAAATAAGCTCTAAGATTTTATAATAGTAAAGCTATATATATATAAGAAAAAAAAACAAAACATTCCATTCTGTTTACCTTCTCGTGGTCTATATGTTCAATGCTTATGTTCAGTATACAGGACATCAAATGATCATAAACATTGCAACTTTATCTGAGAATAATTACAAATCTGTTTATGTGTTTGGATTTGATAGATCAAAAATTGTGTTTGACAGTCATTGATGAATATATACTTAATAGAATAAAATTATAAGTGAAAGCTCCAAGGAAATGAGTTTATAGCAAAGAAAATTTCTAGGAAGATAAAAATATATATATGATTGAATATTTCAGAGTGTTGCCGCTTCAGTAGATATAAGCATTAAAATGTCAAGGGGCCAGTCTAGGCTGCCTAGATCAAAAATAGACTGAAGATACGTGATCAAATTATATGCCCGTAATTTTAAATCATATTATACCATCAAAACTAAAACGTTTGTAGAAAATGACTAGTATAGCCATTACTGTAAATTTTATCTGCAAAGGCTTCATAATAAAGAGCTGTAGTAATATCCGTATTGCAAGATATAGTGTCTGGCTCACCAGAGCTTCGCCTTTGTGAAGTTTGTAATATATCTTGTTTTGCTTTATAAAGTAGTCATAACGAATAAACTTATTGTGCTTGTGTTATTGCTATCAGACACCAAAGTATACTAGATATACTTGCGCAGGGTTCCGAAAGTGTTCTGTTTCAAGAGTAAATAAAACCAAAATTAAAAGTAACAAATATTTTTATTTCTAGCTATTGAAGCTCGTATGTCATGCTGTGCTGTAGCTTACAGAGCGCATAATTCTTCTCGTGATTGATGGCATACACACGTTTTACAGACATCACGACAGTATAAATTGCAACGTTAAGCGTCCCTTGTGTGACGTCATTTTAGTGTATACTGACTGACTGACAGACAAAACACGATTTTATAGTGGTGCGAGTGGTTAAAAGAGGTGACCCTCTCTAGGCAGCCTTCGGCCCCCTTACGGGGAAATTAGAAAAAAAAATGAATTATTTTTGAAACATTTATTTTGGAATGTTTTAATGAATACTTAGCTTACGTTTAACTATTTACGTTTTTTGTGTAGACACATACAGTTTTCCTACATACTTGAGTCCACATAAATATGTTGCTAGATTGTGGTAAAAGTACAATTTCGTTCCTTAAGTTGAAAATAAATTCTATTCATATTCTGATATGAAAACATCAGCTGGTGTTGTTGTTTTTGTAAAAGTTCATTCAATTATAAAGTGTTTACCGCCGAGTCCATCACATAATTAATTAAATTCTAGTTTCTGTTCCTACTGCAAGACTCTTTCGAATGAGCGAAATCCTCATGGATTTCAAAATAGCAGTTTCCGCACGAAATAGAACGAACTCAAAGTCGATTTGGCGAAAATACCAGATATTAGATCATACATATTAAATAATATATATATATATATATATTGTGTTTTCAAGGATCTTTGTACAACTCCACGAGAAAAACTCTATGAGTCCTGAGATATTCAGTTAAAAATCATGCTGTTTGTTTGTTTAAGTTATGCACAAAGCTACACAATGGGCTATCTGTACTCTGCACCACCACGAGTATCGAAACCCGGTTTCCAGCATCGTAAGTCCGCAGACATACCGCTGTGCCACTGGGGGGCAAGTCATGCTGTAGATCATGCTACTCTATAACGTTAAGCATTACCAAGCAAAAAAGGTTATAGGTTAAAGTATCTAAAAAATGTCTCCAGAATTCCTCTATTTTCTATGTTTTAAATATCACGAATTATACAATTACAAAAAAAAAAAAATGTGTGTAGAAAGTACTTCTCTTAAACTATTTACCTAGACAACGACCGAAAGTTTTCTTGTTTAATAACACAGAATACACGTACATGCTATATATATATATATATTTCTTCAGGTGCATGAAACCTTTTAATTCACCGAACTGACTATCCTGATGATTTGAGACTGGAAATTGTGAGTTACGTGACGAACTATTGCAACACTGCTGTAATAAGACCTTTTCAACAACTCTATCGAACTAGGACATCTAACATAGAATAACGTTGCATCTTTGAAGATCACACAAGAATTTTCATCTTAGGGCTTTTTAATGGATATATAAAACACATTTTGTGTGTAAATAAGAAACATTTCAGTGTAAGAAACAGAATTATCACACAGGATATATTGAATTGCACAACGCAGTTTTCTGGAGAAAGGTTTATATTTATATTATGATCTTGATTTTTTTAATTTCAAGCAAGTGACATGAATGTTTCGCTTTATAAGTAATTGATTTTTGCTTGTCTGAATTTTTATCTATATTATACATGAATTATAATAATAAAGCTAACCTTTAAAATAGTATCTGAATTACTTCAATTACAATCTAAAATAACAATAGATATTAAACAAGTAACAAAGTACAACAGTACACACACTGAAATCCTACCTTGGCAGAACAATAGCTTGAATGCACCCTAAACACAGCAACACAGCTAAACAGCATAGAATCCTATTTCCAAAACCATGGTCTTTTTCTTCGTGAAACTGAAAAAAAAATGTTTATTTATTACGTTAATATATATTTTTTGGGTTTGAACAAAGGTATGCCAAGTCGTATTGGCCATTTTGTATTTTTTGCACTACGTTTTACTTCACTAACATAAAAGGTGAGACCCTTCAAGTGATTCTACTAAAATCAATGTACTCGATCAGAAACGTTATAAAATATAACATATTTTTTTTCAATAAAGAATAATTGTGAAACTTTTTGAGGTCTATATATCGACATTCTACTAGACCTCAAATCGATGAATAACCTGAAGATAACATGATTTGTTTTCAGTTGAAACTACAAATAATGATGAATATGTATAGTTGTGCAAATAAGTAACAAAAACTTAGGCTGGTTATGGAAAGCTTATAATAACAGTAGTATCAGCACTGTAATAGGTTGTTCATATCCACCTTAAAATACATCAAATTAATTTGTAATATAATCTCAAATAATAATTTGGCACTGAATATACTTTCCAATTCTTTCCTTTCTAAAATAAATACTTCTTTAACAGCTAAAAGTTTGTATAAAACTCTTAAAGTAGAAAACTACAACACATTTCCTTATGAATAAATAAAAAGTTTTGTTTCACTTGGGTTTTATGTTTTGTTACGTATTACAATTTTGAAAGGTCTGAAACTGAGTTAACTGATAATTTAAATTTAGTAGTTAAATTGTACTCCCTCCTTAAAGAATTAAAATTGGCGTTAAACAATCTTTACTTAAGATATTATATATATACATATACGTTGGCAACAATACATTATTCAAAGGAATACAAAACTTCAATAATCATGACAGTATAAAACACAATTAATACAAATAATCTTATGATCATAAAACTGCATAGCACGTGAAAGTGCATCAGCACAAATGTTATCAACTCTTTTGACACGGATTATCTCCAAATCATACTATTGTAGTGATAAACTGCAATTTAACAGTCTTATGTTTTGTTTTCTTTTCTTTCTTTCGTTCTTTCTTTTTTACAGTTATAGCTTCCGAAGTTTATAGCACACTGCCTATAGCAAACTAATAATATATATACTATTTTTTTGGCGCGTCGCGTTGGTTATATTTATAGGCATGTGGAGAGTTTCTGGAAAATTCAGATTACGTAACAATACAAAGCTACATTAAGCATTTACGTACATACATATATTGTTGATTATTACACTCGAGAATCTTCTACAACTTTATTGAATGAACGGAAGTTTTGCAATACATATTTAACACTATAAGCTATACATGTTTCTAAATATAAAATTAATCTAAACAAACGTTGATATTAAACTAAATATATAACAATAAATCCATCACAGTTTATACGATAAATGAATGAACGATGAATACTTCAACTATTTAACTTAATTTTTTATATTTATTTAAAGAAAGATGAACAATTAGTTGCATACGCAAAAAAGAATGAATAAATCTATTCTGAACTGCAAATAACGATTTCGAACTTTTAATCAAGAAAGCAGTAATTTATAATAATGTTACAACAAAATGAAAAATATATTAGCTACAAGCATAACAATTCAGTATCTGAGCATAGAACTATTACTTCACAACTATGAATATTACAGTCATGGTAAATTGCTCTTTTTACTATAGGATAGAGAAATCAGTACAATAAATATCACATAACAATGCAAGTGAAAACAATAGAAATGAAACTGCTGTAATAACTAATGATGAAACAGCATGTTAGTTCTGTTTTTCAGGCTAAAACGTTTCAAACATTAGCATTCTAAAGAATAGTTATTGATTTTCAGGCATACGTTGTATTTCTGTCATTCCCAGAAAACTGCTTAAATTATTTATAAATATGTAACCTTACAAAAATATCTAAGAAAGATACGATTTAATAGAATAAAAAATCATATAATTTCTGAATGGACATAATTTGACAAGGAATAAATAATAATAAACTCTACAGAAAATTCAATGCCCTTGAAGCAAATATTTTTACTTGAATGGTTTAAAGGACTTCGTCCACCTATGTTAAATATCCTTTTACAGTTACGTTTGATTGGTAGCGCATGATGAAAGCATGCGTTATCAGATTGGAACATTTTCCTCAAACAAACTTCAAAACAAGTAGATTAAGACAGTTAAAAACATTTCTTTGGATAAATTGCATTTCTATAATTACATTTTCGTTTCAAAAAAATACTTATGCCTATTTTTTTTTGATTACATTACTTTAAAAAGTATGAAGTTGATGCAGACAGGAAATATTGTTATTCTGTATGCAGAATAGAACACTAAACTCTTTAAGAAAACAAGCATCAAGGGTTCCCTTTAATCCATAATATAAGTGTCATCTTCATGTTTACCGAAGCAAAAATTCATATCTAGAAGTAGTTTCTACCTGTCGTTCCTTCAGTTTGTCTTTGAAACAAAGAGTAATGATATTAACGTGAGTCGCTTTTTCCATGTCCACACTTCTGGCTTCTATGGCCTGGGCCAAATACTTGTTGACCCTATTACTTGGTTGGTGATAATCAGCTGAATGTCTGAAAAACAAGGCTGATAATATATATGTGTACTTCCCGAAACCTATTTATATCTAAAACTTTCACGAGTTCAAAAGATTTGAATTCGCAGTTAGTTCAGACGATTTATTTAATTTTTCAAAATCAGGCCTATCCTCAGCTATTATAAATTTTCGGATGTCCTCAGATTTTTTAAGATTCTATCTCTAGTCTTCTTAATTATTGGGGCCAAATCGAATTTGTTACTATTCTACACACTCATATTTTTTTAAGAAATATAAATAGCGCCTGAGGATCGTAAAAACTTGTACATATTTGGAGTCACACCAAGTTGACTCACATGTAATAGAATATTGTACCTTTTTACAATGAGATATCGTTCTAAAGTATTGTTATAATTTATAAATGTTTGTAATCAAGCTCTTTCTTAAAATACTTTCAAACGTTTTACTCAAATTCTAAACTCTTAAACGTTTTACTCAAAATCTAAATTTATTTGAAAAGAAACGGAAATTTCTAAAATACCGAAAAATTTTGCTTTATTCTAAAGAACTGCGATTTTTGCAGTTAATGAGTTAATGACTAATTGTAGTTCTGGCTGCAACAACTAAAAAACATATTCTAAAAATATTTGATTTGAAGGGTTTTACTCTCTAGTTGTTAACGTTACCTGTATGTTTTAAGTGATATTATGTTTGATGTGTTTGTCTATACTTTTAACTATTACTATATAGGAATAGAATAAGAAAATTTATTATTTGAGCAACAGTCTTTAATGTATCTCTTGAAAAGTTAATGTTTTTTGGCGAAGGGGAAAGACTTTCAAAAGCTTGATTTGTTAAAGCATACAGCGAGAAGGATATTTGGTCATATGTATTAAATGTGAAATACATAACCTTTCTATAACTATCATAATGCTAAGTAAGAAGCACAAATGAACAGTTAAAGAGTAAGACGCTACATGTTTTGTCTTCATGATTTGTATAACAAAACACTTTATGACATCGTTAGATGTACTTAATTTTGAAGGGTTTTCTACAGAACGCAGGTGCGTGAAGGGTTTTAACCATTATTTTATAACAAGTATGCTAACGAATGATATTTTATAGATGTACTTGCAGGAAAGAAGACAAAACAGTATTTATGTCTACGTTTGTTTGAACTTATACTCAAAACTACACAATGGGCTATCTGTGCTCTGCCCACTACGAGTATCGAAACCCGGTTTCCAGCATCGTAAGTCCGCAGACATACCGCTGTGCCACTTGGGGGCTTTTGTCTACGTAGAGAGACATACTGTTTTTCTATTGATTCTTTTTTCTTTCTTCTTCTAAATATTTTTCAATCGACAGACATTCATTTATTTCTCGGTGGAAACTTGAAACTCGGTAGGTTTATACCTTAGTTCAATACGTCCAGAAACCGTTTGTTATATATATTTAGGCCTTCTTAAGGATTTTATGGGTTCAGATGTTAAACAACCTAAAAATGTATATTTTGGGCTTCTGTACAGTCGTATTTATAGCAATCAAGATGAAAATTGGAACAAATATACATTTTCATGCGCTCAACACATTGACATACAAAAAAAAGTTTGATTTTTCTATTTTGAGTCCTTTAGAAGGTTCATAGTTCACAAAAAAGCATAATTTTGGAGTTTCTGGTCAATTAATCGGCCATATTTTGACCAATTTACAGGGGATTTGGTACAGAAACACTTTTCAACATGTCCACACATTGATAAACAAAAATTCTGTACTTGCTCATTTTAATAATTATAGGAGTCAAGATGCCACAATAAGAATAATTTACATAATTTTTAGGGTTTTGTGATAACTAGTCCGCCATATTTCGGCCAATGGACATGAGATTTAGTATAATAATACTTTGTTAAAGGTATCATACACATACCTACCAAAATTTGGGATATGAACATTTTTGATCATTTTAGGGGATTCAAAGGTTAAATAAACTCATAATTTTTGGGGATCTTCGTCAATTACTTAGCCTTGTTTTGATCAAAAGTCGCATTAATTTTTGAGAGCCGTAGGTTGTGTTTTTTGGGGGTTTGTTTTATTGTGAGTTCTCTTATATATATTCTGTTTTTTGTAATAGCTAACTTCATCACACAGTAAAACGGTTGTAAGAGTGGTTTTCGGTGATGGACTAGATTAATGAGTATCCCACTTCATTATAACTTTAGAATCATTTTATCCCCACTCCTGTTCAATTAAAAACGCACCCAAAGCGCCCACTCAATACATTCTATATAACAAAAAAGCCACTCAAATCGACATTTCAAATGTAAGCTATAAAGAGCACTTGTTTTTTTCGCGAGACTAGCCAGCACTACTGACCACTATACAAGTTTTAGGAACATAATGTAGTGCAGCAACTCGTGCAATGAAGCTTTGCTTCCTGCTTTCCTGGTATATACAGTGATATTAGCAGCGTTTCGGAATAACATGCAAGTAATTCTGGGGTGGTTCTTCCTGTGTTAACATTTGGTAACTGTGCCTATGTGTCTGTAGTCATACCTGCGCGATGACACCATCCTATGGTTTAGGCCTTATAGTGCCATGAAGTGAAATGCTTACTCTGTGACTATTCTTGTGTGTTATTGGTGGAGGATGGTCGCTAGAAACATGCGTTTGGCACCTTTGTGACCTCATTAAGTTTTCTGCAAGATTTAATGAAAATCATAACTCTGAGAAAGGTTAGTCCAGTCTTGTTACTTATATTGGCATTGGTATCCCTAATTAAATATTACCATTAAAATTGGCGACCTTGTAAAAATTATCGTGCAGTGGTTTCCATTTTTGCATTTTCTTTCAAACTTAAAAATGCTTACAGTTAGTAATCTCGTTTATTTGCAATTGTCTTAAAATAATTTAAGTCCTTCAATGCTTATGCAGCATTGATTACATTTAAAGATTATTGTAATGCCACAGGCTGAGTGAAAAAATAATTTTGATGACATGTTCTGCATGTTTATTTCATTATTTTCTGTTTTTATTTTAATGAAAACATTTGACTATTAACAACATTATTCATAATAAGGATAAAACTATGATTAGACAAAGAGTACATAATCACTTTTCTCTAGCCTACTGGTTATAGAGAATAAAATAACTATTTTGAACAAGGAAATGAGTTCTAAGCTACAAAGTATTTCTCTGTATTTCTCCCTAGTAAGAAAATTGTCATGGAAAAGACAAACATCTCTTTGCTGTCCTAATGTTACAACAAAAAACAGGGCTGGTGCAATCCATTTTCATCAAAATGACTGTGACATTCAGCTGAGATGAGAAAATAATCTATACCGCTAACTAGCAGTTCAGCAAAACTATCTTCTTAGAGTTAGATCGATCCACCATTTGATATCCAACTAAATTATTATTGGAAAATTACCTAGACCAGTAAAAGCTTACGTTGAGAAAGTTAGGTTTTTTGGAATAATTTTTGAGAATAAAAATGCAGTGGAGTATATAAGCCGTGTTAAAAAATTTAATTAGATGAGAATAAAGTTATGCAATCAAAATTTAATCAACGAATGACATAATTAAAATGGTTTAATGTCAAATAATGAAATTGACTAAGTTAGATCTAAGCAAGCAATGTCATGTACATGTTTAGATAAAACATATTAACTGTCACAAGGAATGCACGAGAATAAAAGTCAACTCGCGCACATACAATAATGACGTACACTCCGTGAATATTTGAGTTAATTACAAGACTGAAAACCAACAAAGAATGGAAACAGGAATGCCCTTCCTTACTTAATTTAATAACGACAGCCTTCGACTCTCTCAGATAGGCTGTTGCTACAATATAAATGTTTTAGTTTAAAATAAAATAAAAAACTTGGGAAATATTACTGTATGATACATGTAAGTTATCATAAACCAGGAAAACCTTTCACTCTGTTAATACTTGTTAGAGTAATCATAGTAATTTTTGAAATATATATATGTATGTATGTAATAATAATTTTACAAGTCAAATTTCACTTCCTGTGGGTGTTATAATTCGTACAAAAATTTGTTTTATTCTTCCTTTCAAGTTTTAAAATTGTTTGAAATTACTTGCTCTTTAAAATACCGGTTTCATGCTTTCACTACTCTTCAACTTTAGTTCATTTTCTATTCTTTACACGTTATACATCAACGTTTTGTACATTAAAAGATTTGACTTTGGTGTTTAAAAGTAAAAGTTTTATTGCTCACCTCTTTTTAAAAGGTTTCCGGAACTTGTCTGTCATTTTTGGCTAAAACAATTAAAAAATTAATACTATAAGTAATGTTAAATTTCACGAATTTGTTGAAGAAAAAATTTTAAAATTCAACTTATTATTCGTTAAAATATAAAATAATATATTATTTTAAGTTAATTTTCACACATCGTGTTCACATAAACTTTAACATGCCATAAAAAACCATCACACCATATTAAATAGAAGCAAACTTCAATACTTCAATCCACTTTGTACGACAGTAAGCAAAATAATTCATTGACTCTTTCCTAGCAGTTAAAGATATTCTGCATATTATAGGTTTGGATTTTGCTATATATATTTCATAAGAAACATGTAGATATAAAAAAATGTTTCATAAATACTTTGAGAGTGTTTAAACATTTATTGGGGAGTTTGATTGTTCCGTTTTTCTTAATTTTACTCTTGCAAAAATTACATTTTACAACATTACACCTGAATCTAATGTGGCATATTTTAGTCTTAGCGTAATGTAATGCCATTTAATTACCTAAAAGTCAACTCAGTTTGTAGTTTGTTTAGTTACAATTAGCAAATAATTAGGGAAATGGGGGATAAGAAACGAAAAATGGTATACCAACTAGTGTTGTATAAGAACAATAACAACAACAAAAACTAGATAAAAAAACATGCTCAATAACTGAATACCCAAATGTCTAGAAAGATTTGCACGCATTCAGGCCCAGACTGGACATTTGGCAGCTCTGGCAAATGCCAGAAAAGCCGTAACCTCAACGTTTAATGGAACGTTCTTCATAATAAAAAAGTAAACATAATTAAATATGAGACATTTTTATATGGTTGGCGTGTTGTGTCTATTTAGATTTTATCAAGTAGCATAGACTCAAAACAACTCACTACATTAAAAAAACTCACGTAAAATAAAATAAACGAATTGAGTAGCCTTCCCTTTCAGCAACTTTAGTTAAAAAAAAAGGACTGCAGCGCATATCCATGCCAGTAGTATCTCCTTCCCAATCCTGGGTTAATCACGATACAGGATGTTGGGTCAGTTTACAAGAGAATAAGTCATTCAGGCAAATGAAAAACACCAAATCCTTAAATAATTATTACACTATCAGAGATATGAAAAAAATGGTTAGCGTGCCAGACTATGGATTGGAGGTTCGCGCCCCATTACCATAAAAATTCGATGAAAGCATTTTGGAGCCGTGGTGCATTATAAGGAAGAAGGTCAAATCTCACTATTCAATTAGAATAGTCCACGATTTGACGGTGAGTGGTGTTGATTAACTATATTATTTCTAGTCTATCATTAAAAATTAGGGACGACTATTGCAATAGCCCTCGAGTAGCTTTGCGCGAAACTTCACCAACAAAAAGTCCATATTCAACTACTTTGCTCGTCCTAATACCCACCAGCTCATTTTTAATTGTCTTATAAAACAAAATATTAGTGACTCTATAATAAAGAAAAATTTATTCGTAAGGATGGAACTAAATGTAAGTGGTTGACCTACAGTGCGAAACAAAATGCTGTATTTTGCTCAATCTGCCTGGCATTTGCTAGGTGTTGTGTAACATATCTGTTAATTGAAGGAATGAAAGACTGGAGGCATATTCATCAGAGACTTGAAGACCATTAAGACACATCCCGCGCAGAAGCTATGCAGAAGCTTATTTTCTGAAGACCAACAGTACTATTTTATAATTAAATGTTTATTCGTCAAATTTACTAAGAAATAGAAAAACTCCATAAAATTGCCATGATCTACAAAAATCCTTTAGAGTGTACGCAACGTCTGATTTGTTTTCCTATAGCTGAGTCCACACTTACTTATCACTTTTACAATGTCATTCACTCACTCCAGTACTTTCCGCATCTTTTGTACTTGTTCTTGGCTTTTGTCTGCAAAAACACGTGAGTGATTGCATAGAAAAAAAGCAAGAAGTTACGGATTATTGATAACTTTGCCTCTCTAAAACAACAGTTAACACTGTTTTAGAAATAATTCGACGTCATATTCAGGAAACAAATGAGGTGAGTGAAACTGATATGTTCTCAGTGCATCGGAATATCACTTCAAAAAATCGGTGATCTGTTATCGTATGTTATAGATCACATTCACGAAAAGCTCTTTGCGTTGTTGGATTGCGAATCTTCAGCTGAAGAAGACTTGTTTCAAATGCTAATGCAGAATATTAAATTCTGCAAACTGACCGACGAAAATGCACTGACAATTCAATTGATGGAGCAGCAAATATATAAGAACAATATAAAGGCTTCACACCAATTCATGTGTCAGTCAGTATAGAGGTGTACAAGTAAGGAGACTGATTTATTGAGCTTATTAATCTGAATAACGAAGTAGATCTTATTTAAAGACTACTAATTTGTTTCAGTAATTAGCAAAGATCCCACTTTTCGATGATAAAAAACATGCAAATCGTATGTTTTTTGTGATCAAAATTAAACGTTAATATCGAGTTCCTCTGGTAACATTACATTCATATATTAGTTAAATGCAATGTTTATAATCCCACGTTTACTATTTTTAAGCATTGGTTTTTATTTTAAGTACGTTTGTCTACGACTTCTGTAGTCTATATTTACAGCAAACAGTAAAAATAAGCTCCATTACAAAAAAATAATTTGGTTTTAGTTCACTCTTTGTAATTGTTATTTGCCAGAAGCCATATTTTCATGCAAAAAAAATCAAACACGCTTAATCATCTAAAACCAGTTTATTAAAGTATGTATGTATAATATTATAGCCTATGCAGCATAAAACAAACAATACTGTGCACACAACAGAAGTGATACTGCTGTTTACACAGAAACAGTTAAAACGAATTCCATCAGTGTAGCTCATAGATGTCCTGTATTTCCACAAATTCCGTGATAATGAGTACAGGTGCCACAATCTCAATGTGGGTCTGTATACATTGAAATGCTAGTGCCGATTTTTAGTCCCACTCTCTTACTGAATATACTAAAATAGATTTAGATTTGTACTCTACGACGAACCCAAACAGCAAAATTACCTTTTTTACAACGGGTTTTTCTGTACGTGGCTGCACTGTAGCAATGTTTGAAAACGGAACATCCACATTGAACTTGATAGAATGTATCAGTTGCAGTACTACGTTAGAGACATTCTTAAAGGACAGTCTTCGTCTAGCAGATCCTGTTAGATGGCGAACTTGTAGTTTGTTGAGCAGGAACATCTAAAAAAAAACGAAATTCATTATAAAAATTATAAATATGTGGCTTTCCAATTACACCAACCACTAACATTAACATTTTACTATGCAGAATAATCAGTGCTTAGTATATAAGATTATTACTCGATTCCAGATTATAAATTGATATATATTCAACAATTTTAAATCACATTTCATATAACATCGGGCAGCAAAATATTTTTCCTCTGCAACTAAAAAAATGCAATTGTTTCTGAGTAGTTTAATGATTCTGAAACTAAAAACCGTGTTGAAAACTACTGATCACCTCTAGTTTTCGAGTTATGATAGTTTTATTCAAAATATTCTTATACATATGCCATGAAAATAATTTTTTTCGATAGCTTTATTTATTCACTAAAAATTACATTTAAGAATGTTCAAAAACAATACATAATAGCAATACCACTTTAAAAAATGAGTATAATAAGATTATATACTGCAAATACATTCAGACTATGTTCAAAACTTTCAACATAGTATTATTTTTATTACAAAATAACTGTTTGACTTGTTATGCCTTTTGTATATGTTTTCAGTTTCACAGTAATCTCCCATCATTGCAGGATTCCATCGTCCTTGATATCGCTGTTTCATTGTAGAAATATTTTAGTGGAAGCACTCACAATGTTCATCTCTCACTGCACCTAGACCATTTGAAAAGAAGTCTAAATGGGAGTGTAAGAAGTGCATCTTTAGTGACATCCTAGACCCCCATTTTCCTGTAGTTCTCGAGCATATCCTCAATCATAGCAACCTAGTTTTCAACTTTGTGATTTCCTAAGAAATTTTTGACAACCAGTTTGAATGATTTCCAGACAGCAAGTTCTTTCTGATTGAGTACTGTTTTAAAATCATCATCTATCAGCACTTCCCGAATCTGTGGCCCAACAAAGATACCTCCTTCATTTTTGCATCACTGATTTTTGGAAACTTATGGCATCTGAAACCATTACCACCTTTGTTCATTCCTTTTACAAAATACTTGATGAGTCACAGTTTAATATGAAGTGGGGAAGAAACACATTTTGAGGTTTCATTAAAGGTTGATACTCAGTATTCTGTTTCTCTGGTATGTAATTCTCTCTCACTGACCATTCCTTCTTTATAAATTGATTTTTATCATATCGTCTGTCCTAGAGACACAAAAACTAGCAATGTTTAGTATACCCACTCTGCAAGCCTAGCAAGAGCGAAATAGCTTTTAGATAAACACATATGTTTAAATCTATGGTTATCATATTTGATGGCTCTGGCTCCAAGTATAATCTGTATATTCTGATAAGTTTATTTCATGCTCACAGCATGAGTAATAGGAATCGATGGCTTATTGTTTCCATTGTGCAAAAGTACAGCTTTCTGACTAGCCTTAGATGAGTCAATAAAAAGTATCCATTCAGAAGGATGGTGTTCAGTACCTAATTCTTCAATTAGTGCATCAAAATTTCTACAGAAACACAATATATTTTGCATGCTGTAGTGAGAATCAAGACTTTGATGGCAACTTTGTTAAATTGAAACTTTTATTTCTGGAGTTAATAAATTCCATTGCTGTAAACGAGAGCCAAAAAGTTCCCCATGCTGCCTTGATAGAGACAAGTCACAAATCAGATTATTTAGCTCTTCTTGTATGATCAGATGATGCAGTTTATGTTGAAGTGCCACAGGAATAGAATTACTAGAAGAAGAAGATTCATTGTCTTTTTAGCAGGATAACTATCCTATTTCCCAATTTGCTGATGGATGTGGCACTGAAAGACTATCCTCACGAGCTACTGTTTTCATTGGCGGTGCAGTGACTGGATAGTTAATGTATTTTTTGGTTTTGTCTAAATACCCAGAAACATTAGTCATGCAAAAATAACAGCCAGTTATATACTTTCCACAAATGTACCAGACACTGTTTGTGATTTTTGCACTTTCGGACTTTTACTTGAACTGGAAGCAGCCAGCGTTTCAAATGATTTTCTAAAGAATATAAAAGAATTTATGTTTAAAGAACTAGCGTTTAAAAGATAAAAAAAAGTTTTGCAGAATTTTATTATACTGCGGGTATGATGCGATGAAAAAGATCGGACTTTGTTTTAACTGTGAGTGGAGCACGACGACGAAGTGACCAACTGAGTGAGTGAGAGGCAACTGAGAGAGAGAGGCGTTTGTTTCCACCCCTTTTATGCTCAATCAGGTACTTCTTGAATGTTCTATCAAACTGAAAACATGAGACCTTCGTGATTCCCTGAGCGAGGGAATGAAGCAGAAGTGGTGCAATATGCTACAATTATATAGAGAACAAATAGCACATATAAACAATATATTTAGAATTTTACACCAGTAAAATACAGTCAGTGTTTGAAGTTATCAAAAATGTATGCCTTTTACCCATTAAACTCTCCAACAAACTTAATTTCACAGCATAAATCTATTGTACTGAGTTGTTTGCATGGTATTTCACCTAGTGCTGATAAAATATTGAGATATTAAAAGAACTGAAAATCTAAAGGTGATGGAAATTTCTGACAACATGTTTTCATACGCACCATAATATTACCCCGAATCACTTGAAGTTTCTCCAGTAGTAAATGTACTCTACTAAAATTTAAAATAATCAGAAAAAATACACATGCTTTTATTTTCCCATGAAAATTTTGTTGAAATTTTCTAAGAATTGTATATACCGTCCTTATCCAGTAAGCAACACGGCTGATCATTTTGCAAATATATTTCCCCGACGAATTCTCTTGTTTAAAGGAACTAATTATTTCTCATCTTGACAAAGGTATTGTATTTGTCCTTATGGATAGAAAATATTACATAAATGGAATTAATTCTATCTTATCTGACTCCACCAAATTAGATGTTCTTAGCCTTACCCTTTTAATGAGAAGAAAATGTTAAATACATCTTTAGAAACCTTAAAAAGTTAAATAATATCTCCCAAAAGCATTTGATCAAATTTACCCCTGAGGCACCTAAACTGATATATCATATGGCCTTCCTAAGATATACAAATCAAATGCACCTACTAAACTCATACATTATTGATATTAGAAAAACACGTAGGTTCAAGAAGTATTGATATAAATGAATAAAAAAACATATAAACCGAGCACTTTCGGAAGGTGGACCTTTCTTCTTCAGGGACAAACTGATGAGATCACCTCACTCTCAAGAAGATTACTTTATGGCTTTATAACTGTGCAGTTGAATTTAAACCTACACGTAGAAGGTATGTTAACGGTACTTTTGTAATATTTCGTAAAGGCCATCAAAATTTCTAAAACATTTAAACTCTTGTCACCGAACATGCTTGTGAAACTGCGAACACTCGTAGTCTGCCTTTCTTATATATTATAATATTAGCTGCTTTTCAACGTCTACATACCACAAGAAAACCCATACTAGCCTCTACATCTGTTTAGACAGCTTTTCCCTCTAACTACAAACTTAACCTGATCACCTGTTTACAAACTAGAACTTGAAACATTTGTTATTCTTATTTTTTTTCTAAACAACACAACGAAATAAATTTTTAGACCTTTCTGTTAAGATAAATGGGTAACCCTAGTCTTTTGTCGAAACCATCACTCGTGACTTTTCGAATGGAAAACTCAGTCCCTTTAGTAATACTAAACGGATTGCTATACCTAAACGACCCATATATTTATTCCTTTCTTACTTAAGTAAAGAGAGATTAATTCTCAAAAATCAACTCACTAATTTGTTACATAAACACTACACAAAACTCAACTGGGAATTGTTTTCAAATCAACGTATCAGGTAAAACATTTTTTCCGTATTAAAAGCTGCATTTCGTCTCCACTTCGATCATGGATTATTTACTCATACACAAAGCTACATACATTGGAAAAACTAAAGCTCCAATTAACTGTACGTCTCCGTAAATACATAAGGATTTCCTATAGAACTAATCCCCTCTGTGGGCCAGGGGCAAGTTTACGGATTTTAAACGCCAAATTCCGTGGTTAGATTCCCCGAGGTGGCAAGAGCAGATAACACAATGTGACTTTTCGTTAAAACAACAAACAAACAAACCTACATAACTGGTCATCCTTTGTCACCTCCCTGTACCTCTTTTCTCCACATATACATAGTCATCTGCGAGATATTAGGTCGTCAAGAAATTAATGTCGCGTTTTGGAACACTTTCATTGTGCCCCAACCCAAAAAAACAACAACAACAAAAACGAATCGCCAAAACGTTACGTTAGTGTAGCCTATATACTGTGTAAAGTTTAGTATACTCTAATATCTTATAGGGATGGCACACGACGATACACACATTCGGAAACAACGCCTCTGTAACCACAAAGAATATTAACTAAGTTTATGGAAATGTTTTGAACGTTCATAAATGTTAACGATGGTTTAGCAAATTTTGTTCAGGTGACTTTAGCCTTAAAAACTATAACGGCAGAAGTCGACATGTTGGAATTGATATTGATGCTCTGAAGACGCTTATTGAATTTAACCCAAGGCAACACACTCGTGAAATGACCTTGAAATTGCTTGTCTCTCATGAAACAATACGTAAACATTTAAGGAATATGGGAAAACTCATTAAAGAAGGTGTTTGGATGCCTCACGAACTCTCCGATGATCATCGTTTCTAACGTGTGAACGTTGCTTTGTTTCTTCTGGCGTGTAATGCGCGTGAACCATTTCTGGACAGAATTGTCACCGGTGATGAAAAATGAATTCTCTATGCGAGTATCAAACCTCGTAAACAATGGCTCAGTCTTAGACAAAAACCACTTCTGACCCCTAAACCTGGACTCCATCCGCAAAAAGTGATGCTTTACATCTGGTGAGACATTAAAAAGGAGTAATTCATTTCGTACTCACCAATCCACAACGAACTGTCAATGCAGAGATCTATATTCAGCAACTGGAACGTTTAAATCAAGCCCTTCATCAGAAACGCCCTTCACTCGTCAATCGGAAAGGTGTTCTTCTTCTCCACGGCAATACACGCCCATATGTGGCACGTTTGACGCAACACAAGATTATGAAGTTGGGTTGGGAAGTTTTCCCCCGACCACCATATACTCCAGATATGGCACC